CTACTCGTCCAAAAAAACAGTATTTTCCGGACTTGTTAGTTACGTAAATTACTATTAATATCACAATAATACCCCGATAGTAATATTTTTCCAAGTTTGTCGTATTTTTGAATAATCACAAGCACGCCCCTGACTTTCCTATCTTCCTGTATCGTCCGGGGTGGCGGCGTGAGCACTCGAAATAGTTTTAGAGTGTGCTAAAACCGTTAGGACCGATAAGGATATGCCTTTTAGGTGTTTCCTTACAAAATACATAAAGGGCCATGTGCGCCCTATCCAAACAAACATTCCGAAGGAAATGCAGAAAAAATGTCCCAGTTCACCTTCCGTTAATATTATTTCACGAAAAACTGCCGTTTGTAGTTGGCTGCAAAGTTTTTGGTACCGTGAGCAAGCGAGTAAGCAAGGGTTACTTTACATCGAGCTTCGCATAAATTTTCGCACATTTGTCATCATATTTTTTTTATTTCAACTTTCAGCTTCAGGATAGCTCAATCAGATTATCAGAAATTGACTGCCAAATATTCTCATTTATTTTATGAAAATTTGGCAAAGCCACCAAACAAAAAGGGTTACTTTGCTAACAGCCACAAAACTCCTGAATTAAATAAATACCGAGATAAATACAGAAAGCTCAGAGCCATCTCCACACAATATTCATAAAACGAACGACAATGGTAAATTATTTTGGAGAAAAACAGCTACTTTCCTGGCCACGCAGAACATTGAATTACATCCACCCGAAATCTATGCATCGACTCGTATGAACGAATTCTGATACAAGTGATTCTTTCCCAAATGCCTATTGATTTCTATTTAGCCAGGCCACGCTAGACACCTGCAAAGCGGTTTCGAGTACTTTGACTCTCATCAGTGCAGGGCAGTCTCCAGCCAGCAGTCCTTGGACCGGCGACTAAGCGTAGCCTAGACAAACAAAAATCAAGTCGGCATTATATTCCCCCAGAGGCGTCGTCCATAGACAATAAGAGAGCAACGCCATCTGAGTAGAAAAGAAGGAAAGACACACGTTAAAACCACAATTCCCATACGGGAGTGACTGGTTGCCCGACTGGCGTGATCTCAACGACGAAACAGCCAAAATGCTCATAGTGGAACGAAATGTTAAATAAATACTAAAAGTCGGCGGTCCTAGGACTGCTGTCTGGAGACTGTCCTGCACTGATGAGAGTCAAAGATCTCGAAACCGGTATGTAGGTGTCTAGCGTGGCCTGGCTAAATGGCACCCTGTATGTCTTCTGCAATGAAAAAAATTTGGTTCGCGAATTCATTATTCATCCCTAAACATATTGCATATTTATTTGGATAACACTCTGTATACAGGGTGTTCCAGATTTAAATGTACATACGATACCTGTAGATAGGGGACACTGTGATGGTTCCAAATCATCCCCCTTTGATGTGTCTACCGTTTTTTATAACTGAGATACAGGACGATATCTTGATTTTGGCAAAATCATCATCTGGTCATAGCTTTTGAACCACTTTGTATAATCTATCCATACTTGGTAGAACTATTTCACTTATATTACCCATCAAAACTAAATGAAAATCGGGATCAAAATCCAGGTCCGTCTTGAGGAAAAATAGAAAACTTCTTTTATATCAAAAACAACACTCTGTATGGCAATTTTTTTTAGATCTGTTTCAATATTTGAAAAAAGCAGGGAAAAACGAATGAAGTGACCTTCTTTTTACAACCGCGCATCCCATTCGAAAGATGTTTCATTATTATTTTCTGATATACTCGGCTCCATTTTGAGTCATTTTTATTGAACTCGTAATTCAAAATGCAATTATTTCCCGAAATAATAACGTCCTTCGAAGTTCAACATCATAGGGGTGAAATAGATAGATCTGTTCGTTCGACAGAATAACGTCTGTGGTTTTGGGAATTTTTGAGGGCTCGTTTTATTCTTCACTATTGATTCATGAGCTGCGGTGAATCTATCAATAGTTCACCTAATTTGCTCCTAATGACGTTCAGCTTTGAATACTATTATTTTTTTTTGTATCAAAATCGGATTTTGTATTACAGTTCAATAAAAATGCCTCGGAATGGGGTGAAAATTTCAAAACATAATAATAAACCATTTGTCAAATTAGATGCGCGCTCGTAATAAGTAGGTCACTTTATTAATTTTTTCCTGCTCTTTCCAAATATCAAAACAGATCCACAAAATTTTGCCATATAGAGTGTTGTTTTTGAAATAAACATGTTTTCTGTTTTTCCTTATGACGGACCTGGATTCTGTACTCAATTTTCATTTAGTTTTTGATGTGTGATATAAGAGAAATATTTCTACCAAGTATGATAGATTAAACAACGTGGTTCAAAAATTATGAACAGATGAAGATTTTGCCAAAATCAAGATAACGTCCTGTATCTCAGTTATAAAAGACGGTAAACACATGGATGGGGGTGATTTGAAACCGTCAAAGCGTCCTCTATCTGCCAGTATCGTATGTACGTTTAAGTCTGAAACACCCTGTATAGTTTTCGAATTGACTAAATTTTCTCTTGAACATCATAGACACAAAGGCGTTAATATTTATCATGTAAATCATTCATTTCCTTAATTAACATCTTCCATATCTTCTTTGCAAGTAATGACTGCGTCTTCAAAGTATATACTGTTGATAACGATTTCCGGATATTGTAATCCGGAGGATGTAGACAAATTTGCATTTAATATTACTTGAAAGATTATAATTTTACTTCAACTCAGTGGGTTTGTGGTTAAAAGGCAGGAAAAACAATATCCGATATTTAAAATTGAGAAACATACAAGTAGGTACACCTTTACCGCTGCCCTTACTTATTATTTTGCGTTAACTTTCGTGTTGAATAATAAACAAAATAGGTACATAAATTGTCAATTTTTGTAAACGAAACATTCGAAAATGAAAATTGGTGATAGTTTATAACTTTTGGGCTATCTAAAGGTGAGAAAAAATTGAATAAAAATTGCAGGTCCGTATTTAATAGTATATATTATGTAACAAGTGTTATGAACGCCCTCTTAGTAACGAGTACATCATATTTTTCTATTCGATTTGAGAGATAATGTCAATTCGCAATTTCAGAGGATTTTGATTTTTCATGCTGGCTTTTTGGATACTCTACAGATATAATTCAATGTTCGACGTGGCAAATAGCCAGGAAAGTAGTTGTTTTCTGTTGAATATTCAGGATGATGTTATGTGCATATCTTTATATGAAGGAGAATGAAAATTCTCTACTTCAGAAAATTTCGTTTTCAAATTCTTATCGTGTGTATTCAATAGATGTAATTCAATGTTCGTCGTGGCATATAGCCAGGAAAGTAGTTGTTTTCTGTTGAATAAACCGAGAAAGAATTAATATTTTCATCACATGGAGAATGCGAATTTTCAATGTATCTCTTTATACAGGGTGATCCATGGTGGATGGCCTATTAGAAGTATCTGGAGAACGGAAAGACAGAACATTCTGAAAATTGGGATGCTTTGATAATTGATCATTCTCTATCCTACTAAAATATTTTCATCGATACAGTGTTGCCACTTCTATCAGAAACAACTAGCAACTTCGCTATTTTGAATGGAGCACCCTGTATTTTATTGCATTATTAGATTTTTCCTGAAGAGCTGACTTCATCAATGTATCACACTTGGGGTCTAGCAGGAATGATTACAGAGATATAGGGTGTTCAAAATCGAGATTTTTCAGTTTCAGGATTTTTTTGTGTCGAAACTATTCATTATCGATCGAAACGACTTACATGTCCCTATCTTAACTTTTGATTCACTAACTACTGGAATTTAATTGGAACAAATACAGGGTGCTTCAAGATTCAGAATTCTGATCACCCTGTATCTGTTCCAATCAAATGTCAGTAGATAGTGAATCAAAAGTTGAGATAGGGACATGTGAGCCGTTTTGACCGATAATGAATAGTTTCGACACAAAAAAATCCTAAAATTGAAAATTCTCGATTTTGAACACCCTATATCTCTGTAATCATTCCTGCTAGACCACAAGTGTGATGCATTGATGAAATCAGCTCTTCAGGAAGAATCTGAAAATGCAATAAAATACAGGGTGCTCCATTTAAAATAACGAAGTTGCTAGTTGTTTCTGATATAAGTGGCAACACTGTATCGATGAAAATATTTTAGACGGATAGAAAATGTTCAATTATCGAAGCATCCCAATTTTCAGAATGTTCTGTCTTTTCGTTCTCTTCTTCTCCAAACCTCTTTCAATACAAATTGTCACAGACAAGCTAGTGAATTTTTCTTTTACGCTCTCTGATAAGAAAATTCTCCAAACGCAGTGACACTTTGGGGCAAATCATCTGATTTGTCCTTACTACACGTATATTGAAATAATATTCATATTTTTATGTCATAGAAACGAGGACAGAAAATTCCAAAAAATCTGGAATAATCCGTGATCAATCGGTACATATCCGTACGTGGCCATTATGAAGTATCTTTAATTTCGAATATTTTCTGAAGAAAATATTAAGAAGGTTAAAAGGAACTTTGTTTTTCCGGGAATTTTTCAAGTTTCAAAGCTGCATTATTTTTGGCATAAAATTGCGCAACTTTGCCATGATATAAGCGACCCTGTATCTCTTACGGCTTACGAGATTCCAATGATGAGGCTCTAATTGCAGCTACTTTGTACCCACATTTGAACTGAAAAACGTTGTGTCTTTGTGAAATAAATGAAATGAAAACAAAATTCCAAGTTGACGTGAGTGCCCACTCAGCGGAAACGTCCTGTATTTCATGAATACGCATCCAGATTTGCTGGCACTTGCCTGGAAAATCGATACGCCACTCTCTCACTCGACCCAAACATACCCGGATAAAATCCAGTCAATGTTCTCTTTCGTACATCCAGAGAGTTTAGTTGATTGAATTAGTGTTTTTTCTTGCAGAAGGTGAAACGATAGTTGGTCAAGATAGGCTACCACAGCAGGTCGATCAAGATGGCCCTGCAAGCAGCTGAAAGTCCGGTCAGGTATGGCATTTCCACCGAATGGGACATCAGGAATGACATCAGGATACCGAGTTACAGGAGTCTGCAGACCTATGCTGAAGATAATCTTCCGAAAGGTGAGGCGAACTACCAAAACCTTCTCATAAGAAAAAACAATAAAAGTCTCAAAGTCTGTCGACCACGAAAAAATATTTAATAATAGTAGTGTAACTAGTTTCGGCCACAGGCCATCATCAGACACAAAATTGATGTATTAAAGTACCTAAAAGATATAAAAAACACATGATTAAGGAGTAAAAAAGAGAGTCAAAAAATTTGGTATACTAACCTCAGTGATACATATCAGAAGCAAAAATTTTTAGTAACATCATCAAAAGCCAAGGTCGAAAACACAAATTATCAATCCTGAATGTGAATAGATTTGGTTTTGAATCTTGAAAAAGTCCAGTAGAACGAAATCAACATAATATTAATGATGAGGTACATCGGGAATCAAAAAGTTTCAAAAAATTCTCTCACGTGAGATTCATCAGATTATGCAAAATGCAAATGGAAGCTGAGACAGAATTCTAAGAATCAGAAACATCAAAATCACATGAAACGTGAAACATGACAAAGAACAAGTGACACCAGTCAAAAGTCAAATATGACAAAACTAATCAACATTGACAAACCAAATAAATTTTGAAACAATAGGAACAAGAGATTGGGAGGAGAACAAAAATAGACCAATATGGGTTATAATATGTTTTGATGATAATCATTGGAATTTTAGAGTACGAAAAATCAAGCTACGTTCAAAAGCTTTTCAAGGTCAAATCGAGAATGGGCGAGTGGACTGATAATGAATTATTGGCATTCAATTACTCCACTGTGTCTTTGGGAACCTAAATTAATTTTTGCAACACTTCTGACGCTTTTTTTATGTAAACAATGAGTCCATGCGTTGTTAGAAACTGTTGAATTTCAGAGCTCATTTTGAACGAACTTTCATGGCCGCCATTTAGCAATACGTCGAATAAATGGTGACGTCTGTTTTTATGCTGTTCCGTTATTGGTCAGATAATCTTCCATTCCCACTCATGAAGCAAGGTTGTCAAGTCACCAATCATAATCAAGTTATCAAAAAGATTTTTGAGTCATATCGTTGAATGAAACATAATAGGAAGAACCCATGATGTTTCAGTTCATTCTCGACTTTTTCGAGCAACCAGCATGTCCAAATATTTCTCATTCTCCATAACTAAATATCATGTGAATGTTGGAGACTTGGCAACATTGTGCTGAATGCTGAGAAATTACAAGACCACGCCACCGAACATAAACGTCTCTGTTTCTGTTCGGTGACCACGCCCACAAGTCGTGCGCGTGGTTGTCACGTTCACCGATTCAAATTTCACAGCACAGTTGCCATGTGTTGAAATACGGTTGGGAACTTCAGAAATATTAGTTAATCAATAATTGAGGCTTTTTGCTTATAATAAATTCGTTTAAATGATAATTATATTAATTCACACTAGAGGACATTTGAATCGGTGAACGTGACAACACGGCACACGATTTGTGGGCGTGGTCTTGTCAGTTCTCAGCATTCAGCAAAATGTTGCCAAGTCTCCAACATTTAAATGATATTTTGTTATGGAGAATAAGACATATTTGGACTTGCTGGTTGCTCGAAAAAGTTGAGTAGCATCATGGGTTCCTCCAATTATGTATTATTCAACAACAGGACTCTAACTTCTTTTTGATAACTTGATTATAATTGGTGACTTGACAACCTTGCTTCATGAGTGGAAATAGAAGATTATCTGACCAATAACGAAACAGCATAAAAAACTGACTTCACCATTTATTCGACGTGTTGCCAAATGCCAAAGGTCCGTTTGAAATGAGCTCTGAAATTCAACAATTATTTCAAACAACGCATATAGGCTCATTATTTCCATAAAAGAGCGTGAAAGTGTTAACTTACCCAAAATTGAAAATGAACAATATGTACGGACTTATTGCCCCAAATAATAATGAACATTATGCAGATTAGGAGAGATTCAGATTGCGGATAGCACATAATTATGAGAATAAATGCAGAACAGAGTGGTATTTTGCTAGACTATTTCACGTTCACGAAGCATAAAAAGCATTTATTATAAATGAGTGATTCATTCTGACAAGTACAGACATGAGTATTTTATGCCAAACTGACAGACTCTGCTTCGCTATCCATGGTTACATCGATACTTTGATTTACTATCCATGGTAACATCGTTGAAAACATGAACGTTTTCTGACCAATCAGAATTGTAAGACAGCTCATGTTTTCCCAATGAGCACACGTATCTGGTTTGTGATTGGTCAGATCCCAGGCAACCAGATGACGAATGATCACGTCACTGTGACGTCCCTAATTGGTGATTTTTTGTCAGAGACGTCACACACCAATCTATGACGTCACTATATGACGTACTTTCTATGACGTGATAATCACGTCATCGTTTCGACGTCGAGTGAACGTCACTTAGATGGGTAAAAGAATACGTCAGTTTCATGTCGTTGCAGGGACGTCCTGTCGACGTCCATTTTTCCCAGACCTTCTCTAAACCATGGATTACTTATATATTATCATGTGAAACAGAAGTATAACTCATGGAAGCAAATCAACATGCAAGTTTTATTCTAATTATTAATATACCCGAAAAGTAGTAGAAAAACTTTTTTCTCAAAAACTTTGACACACTCTATATCTCGGAAACCAACAAGCTATATATATATAATGATTGTTTAGGTATACCTATATTGAAACCGTTACTCTAATGACGTTGCAGTGACGTATCTATGACGTCTAAAAATCACGTCGGTGCGACGTACCAATTTGGTGAGCTTCGTCAATGAGGAAATTTTTTAAAAATTTTCTATTTAGAATCTTGTTGGGAGACAAAGAATGCATCAATATATGTATATTGATGCATTCTTTGTCTCCCATATTCAACAAAGTGAAGCCAAATTCGTCAACATCCTTTCCATTGCTATCAAACTATTCTCTGTTTGCTTACATCTCGCCGACACAAACTACATAATTTTTGATACAAATACGTGTAACTGATTGCAATTTGATGGAGATCCGTACTGAAGGATGGCGCTGCTGAATAGGCGATTGAATGAACATGACACAGTAGGGACCCGCAACAAGCAGACTCAACAATGCATAAGCAATACTACTATATAATGTCATCAGAGGCTAGTGGTGTTTATCACACCATGTTGAAGGAATCCCTTCTACGTATCATCGCCAAATTCAATCGTCATTTTCACGTCATTATGACGTCAGTCGGACGTCACAGTTCGGTGAGTGAATGACGTCAACACGACGTGAGTCATATGACGTCATTGGGCTGTGGGAGTTATTCACGTCATTATCACGTCAATGCGACGTCAACTACTGACGTCACCTTGGTCATTCAAGTGACGTATAAAAGACGTCACTGGAACGTCATCTGGTTGCCTGGGATAATGTGATGAGTTAAGTTCATTTTATGAACATTGTGTGGAAATGACTGAGCTTCCTGTATTTATTCAAAATTTCATTCCACATTCATTCGTAGTTGAAACTGTATCTGATCAAACTGATAAAGTAGTCCGTTTCACGTTTCACGATACCATTAAGTACATTTAAAATGATGTTTTGAGCACATGAAAATATCGTGGAGATGAATTCCAGTTTTAGTATCCCCATGAGTTTAATATTATTAGAAATCATTGCGTGACACCGTTCGTTCTTCTTCCAGACCCCCGACAGTGGACCAGAGACAACGTGGCCCACTGGCTGCGTCACGTGACCGCTGCCCACGGCTTGCCCGAGGTGCCGCCCACGCGATTCCTCATGAACGGCAAGGCCCTTTGTCTGATGTCGCCCGGCATGTTCCTCAGCCGCGTGCCCTTGGGCGGCAAGCTGCTCTACAAGGACTTCCAGCTGCGACTGTGCTCCGCCCTCTACTCGAGAAGCTGAGGCTAGAAGCTAGGAATGTAGCTGAATTTCCATTTTCTGCTCACAACTCAATAAGTTAATGCTACGGAAGCTGAGGATGTAGCGAAACTGTACATTTTAAGGAATGGTTCCGTTCAGCAGGTTTAGACCTTCTACCGTCTCTGCGGTAGATCTACCGTTACTATTGCTTTACCGCAGGGCCTCAAAAGGGCGTTCCTCAGCCACGCACCCTTGGGCGGCAATTTACACTACAAGGACTTTCAGCTGCGACTGTGCTCCGCCCCAAGTTCATGCCGGAAGCTAAGGATGTAGCGAAACTGTACATTCTTAGGAATGGTTCCGTTCAGATTATCTTGCGGTTCGACAGTTTTTTGCGGTAAACCTACCGTTTTTTGCGGTAAATCTACCGTTTCAATAGTGTGAACTACCGCTCTATCGCAGAGCCTCTATAGTTTGTTCCTCAGCTGCGTGCTATTGGGCGGCAAGCTACACTACAAGGACTTCCAGCTGCGGCTGTTGGGCGGCAAGCTACACTACAAGGACTTCCAGCTGCGGCTGTGCTTCACCCTTTACTCGAGAAGCTGAGACAAGAAGCTAGGAATGTAGCAGGATCTTAATCTCCGCTCTCTACTCAAAAAGTTAATGCCGGAAGCTAAAGATGTAGCGAAACTGTACATTTTTAGGAATGGTTCCGTTCAGGTAGTTTAGCGGTTCTACCGTTTCTCCGGTAGATCTACCACAACTACCGCTCTAACGCAGAGCCTCTATAGGGTGTTCCTCAGCCGCGTGCTATTCTACACTACAAGGACTTCCAGCTGCGGCTGTGCTCCGCCCTCTACTCGAGAAGCTGAGGCTAGAAGGCTAGAAGCTAGGAAGCAGAATTTTAATTTCCACTCTCTACTCAATCGCTGCGTTTTATTTGTTCCATTCTGGTAGCAGTGGTAGCGGTGGTGGAAACAGAATGACGAATACAAATAAAAGTAGAAAGGGGTCTTATTCATATACAGTCTGTCCAAGATAAGGTTGAACAGCATGGGGATTTCGAAAACGGTAAGAGATACGAAATCGGTTAAATGGGGAAAAAGTTGCGCATTCGGAGGCTCATATCAAGAGCCTTCGAAAATTTTGAAAATTATTTTTAGTTTTTGAGTTATATCGAAAAAAGTGAATTTTTGGAATTTCTATTTTATTTTTTTTTCTCCGTTATTATTAGAGATACAGCAAAACTGAGATTACTTTTTCATAGCAACTTTTGATGACGGTCAACGTGGTGATACCGATTTTTTCATGCGACGTTTCGTATTCGTGGAACCATCATCAACTTTTGTTTTTTAAATACGGTCCTGATAATTTTTTCACAGATTCTAAAAGGTTTTTTTATTCTGAATTCAACCATGTATTATACAATGTGATTCGAATGTGTTTCGACCTATTTCTATCCATCATCAATGTTTTTTCGAAACTCCAAAGGAAAAATGCCATCAGTTCCACTTATTTTGAAGGAAAATTAGTCAACACACTAATACCTCATCAACTGGTTTCAATCAACAACCCATTTCATTTTGCAGAAACAAAAATTCTATCCATACAAATTCAGAATATGTCAAGCGCTAAAACCAGGCGATGACGAAAGGCGCAAGACATTCTGTGAGTGGAATACCAGGAAATGTTAAAATTTTGCAGATTTCTTTCGAACAATCATCTGGACTGATGAAAGCATGGTCACTAATCATGGTAGCTTCGATAGAAAAAATACACATTATTGTTCACGAGAAAATGAACATTTATACATTACAGCGAGACACCAACACCGTTTCGGCTTTAATATGTGGGTTGCAATATTTGGTACACGAATTATTGTTCCTTCTATTTACCATGAAACACAGACTTCCGAACGTTATAGAAATTCGCTTGAGAATCATCTTGAGGAAGCTCTGGATGATTTACCGATTGCGGAAGTTCAGAACTCTGTTGGTTTCAACAAGATGGCGCTCCGGTACATAATTCCAGAGAAGTCCGTGCGTTTTTATCCCTTGGCCGGCGCGGTCGCCTGATTTGACACAGCTGGATTTTTTCTTAGGGAATATATCGAACTTTGTACACGCAAATAACTTTGAAGATGAAGAAGAACTAAGGGACAGTGTCTTCGAAGCATTCAATAGAATAACCCCAGAAATGCTTAGCAATGTCTTAGAAACAACTGTGAGAAGAGGATATCTTTGTTCAGAAATTAATGGTTATCATTTTGAACATTTGTTATGAATGTCTCTGTAGGTATTGTCAAAGTTGAGTTGTTAAAGTAATTCGTGTGAGAATTCATCAACAATTTTAAACGCTGCATTGATCGAATGATGTAGTGAAATATTTTTTATTCACTTTTCAGTATTGAATAACTAATCCATCAAGTTTGACACTAAATGATAAGAAATTTCTTATTAATAAGTGAACTGATGGCTTTTTTTCTTTTGGAAGTTCGAAAAAACATTCATGATGGATAGAAATAGGTCGAAACACATTCGAATCACCTTGTATAGTACATTGTTGAATTCAGAATAAAAAAACGAAAAAAAAAATAAAATAGAAATTCCAAAAATTCACTTTTTTCGATATAACTCAAAAACTAAAAATAATTTTCAAAATTTTCGAAGGCTCTTGATATGAGCCTCCGAATGCGCAACTTTTTCCCCATTTAAGCGACTTCGTATCTCCTACCGTTTCCGAGATCCCCATGCTGTTCAACCTTATCTTGGACAGACTGTATATTGCGCCTCCAAATAATTTCAAAATCATGATACTAGAATTGAGAATCTAGAAAATTAATCAACGAATATTTGGAGCAGTGATTGTGGTGATTGTAGAAACTTGAAAGAATCATAAACTTGTGAACCTCACCATAAAAATGTCTTCTACTTTCAAAATGTTTCGTTTTTGTCAATCTGATATAATTTCTTGACAATTACTGTCAACAGTCATTCCACGTCATTCCTTGTAGTGAGATGGAATGAAAAGTAGCAACCGGAATGACACATTCTAGTATTTCCGGTGGCGGAATCGAATAAATAAAACGCAACTATGAAGTCAATGCCGGAAGCTGAGGATGTAGCTAAATTGTAAATTTCGATGTTTGGATTAGAGGTTTAGAACACACGCCACGTACTGTATAATAATCTGAAAGCGTCTTGGATACATTAGAAAGAAGATATCCTTGTGTAGAGGTCGCTGCTCAGCATTGTGGTTCGCTATATATCGCATTTTACTTGCGTGATCGAGAGAGAGGGAAGTCATGCATCTCTTCTTTCATCTTTCTATAGATTTTTCCTGTACCTTTTTCATTGTCTACCATCTACACTTTTTCCAGTTGTATTTCAGAAAGCGTCATTCCAATTTCAGAAAGCGTCAACTTTATTTCAGAAAGTATCAATTGTATTTCAGAAAATATAATTTGAAATACAATCGACATTTTCTGAAATACTAGTGGAGAAGGTGTAGTTGTAATTTAGATACCTTTGCTCCCTTGATATGCAAATAGTAAAATTCTCTCTAGTATTCTCTACCTCTCTGAAATATTGCTGAACTTAACCATATACTATTATTATTTATTTATTATACCTATATGTTATAGAAATAACCAAAGAATTGTATTGAGGACGTATTTTATATAAAACACAAAATACTAGGTATATATACCTACGTACTTTTAGTAATTAGATATGTATACCTAGTAGATGTAGGTAGGTACGTATACTTATAGTAATGTGGCAGTTATTAATTTATAGATATGATGCGAGTGTTTCATTTCGATTTCTTGATTATACCAGGTGCCTAAGTATATCTGTTCCAGCAAAATATCTCAGCCACTTCATAAAGATACATCTCATTTGAAATATATACCCAAAATTGAAGGCCTTATCCGAGCAGATCATATTTTCATCTTTTGAAACTATATATTATTTCCATTAGAACAGGTGTACTGTGCCACCCGGTATATTTTGTATATTTTGTTGACTAGTCATGTACATATTATTATACTTATTATCGAGAGAAGAAAACAGCAATACAAAATTTTGAAAAGTTTATAAATTGCGTATTTTTTCAGTTTCTTCCACCTTATTTCCGTAGACAATACAGAGGATGATTCAAAATTCGATGTAAATATTTCAAGACCGTATTGTTGGGATCAAAATAAGACTTTTTCTTCATATGAATATGTGCCCTAGAATGCACCTCATCTCGGCCAATAAAAGTGGGTTTACATAATTTTTGGAGGAATAAAGGAAGTGTCTAAAAGGACAGGGGCCTGCCGATTTTCAGAAGAAGAAGTTTGTTCCGTTATTTTAGTCACAATTTCAGAATTCATTTTTTCTTCACCTAACTCACAGTGGCTGTAGTTTGGAGGGGGTGAATGGGCGTGTACACCTTAGTAGAACTTTTAACTCAAACCATGTTTATAATGATCCTTTTATACATAAATAATGATTGACGACATAATTCGATCGAAAAATTTACTGGACTGTTTTATTTTTGGACATAAATAATAGTACCTTTTGAAAACGGACCCTCTTATGACGTAGAAACCTCATCTCGCCATAGTTAAAAGAAAATACCAAACGCCCGACGGAGACTGATGGAGCAACTGATATATCAATTCTTTCAACTGTGATCTCGCGCTAATTCACTCTGTCAGAAATCATGTATCATTCATCTCTGTCTGGAATAGTCTTGTTTCAGTATTAGGGTTTTGACAAAGAATAGTATGGTTTTGACGTCACATCATCGCCTCGTTTTCAGAGGTCCGGAAAATCGGGGATTCCAATAATTTGTTATAAAACGTAGGGAGCTCACGCAGCAAGAAACGGTTTGCGATGGTGAGCTAGTTTGGGTGAGTTCTATCGAATTATGAAATAAAATTTGTTTGTGATGCGCGCCACTGGTGTTAATTATCTTCAGTAGAAATATCCCTTGCTCCAGAGTTCAGATGTTGGCTGCTATTGTTCAACTAAAAGAGGCCATTTTTCAAATTAAAAATTAAATTTCATAAAATGGCGATTTTTCCATAGCACCGCAATTAATCCAAAAAGTTTCAAAGACGTCTCGAGGTATCGGACCAACCATTCACCCAACATCTGAAAAAGAATTCTAGGGTCCCCCACATTTCCCAAATTATTGGTCAAACATTTGAAATTTTTCAGGCTCTCAATTCACACTCTGTACAAAGAGATAACGAATCGCAAAGATAAAAACCCGACGCCAATGATGCATAGCCCATGGATGACGCTTTCTACCTTTGGTTGAAAATCCAACATCGGTTTTGGCTGTCCCACTTCATCTGGTAAGTAGTTTATTTCAGTTATCAGAGATTGAAAGAATATTATAACGATATTACTGTATTTAAAGGGAGCTCATAGCCTCAGCTGCTGAAGCAAGAGCACAGAAACTACACGATTAATTTTCAGTTTGATTAATGGGGCATGTAATAAACAGACCCCTTTCTAGAAAAGTGATAAAGATTTCGTACACTTTAGCATGTTTAAATGCCATCAAGTAAGGAATGAAGTTGCTTACCGTGCATAGTACATAGAAGAAGCGTCCTACGGGTGCGCGCTGAAAGTTAAGCCATCTCATAACATACTGCAGAACATAGAACATAGTTTCTCAACTTTAGATAACTGTAGTTGGCCAGGTTTTTATGTACGCTGAAAGAAATGTTATGCGCTGGTTATGCCAAAACACATTGGTCAAAGAACAGGATGCTGTAATAATGCACGTGGAAGTGTGCAGATTCCCCAACAGATGGCGACACTTTGCCTCAGTCAATCATTTGTTCCACCAATCTTGCAGTCAAACAATGAGTTCATATTGCAGTCAGATGCAGGCACGTATACAATGGGTGGGTAATGGGGTTAATTCGTTACCACCGATACAACATCGGTGGTAACGGCTAATTACCCTCCCCAGACGATCGAAGAGAATTCAGTGTTTCAATCGGAATTAATACGATTTCCAAAATGAATTTTATTTCATTCAACACGTAACAATAGTATCTAATATATTACTTCCTGAAAGCTGAAAAATGCCAAAACTACAGCGTGCAAGTTCCTTTATCATTATGACTATTTAATTTGTGTATATTATGGAATCTCGCAAGCCGGTGTGATTTGCCATTATCAATGCGAAAAAAGTTTCTCCCTACTTTTCCAGTGACAAAACCGAAACTAAACATTGATGTTTTCTCAAAGTGTTGTCAGAAAATTATCCATGATCTGTGGAAACGTCGCGATTTGGATGGAAGTCTTCCAGAGGAGAAATTGAAAAAACCATCAACAATAATGTGATTTAACGTATTCATCAAATTGTCTTACCAACTTCAACTCAAGCATTTCTTTCGGGTCAAAGTGAACTTGACATTTATACTTCGATTTTTGTTGTCCTTAAGAATACTAAATTTTCAACTGAATTTGAAATCATTTTTTTCATTCTCCATGACTGCGTTGACAAACCTATAACTATCAATATGAAGGCATTTGACCTTGAATAACAGAGAAATTTCGCCTGCGGCGCTTTTTTTGCTTTGTGTCAGCACCCTCGCGACGAATGGGCTTATATCACAAACAAATTTTATTTCATAATTCGATAGAACTCACCCAAACTAGCTCACCATCGCAAACCGTTTCTTGCTGTGAGCTCCCTACGTTTTATAACAAATTATTGGAATCCCCGATTATCCGGACCTCTGAAAATGAGGCGATGATGTGACGTCAAAACCCTACTATTCTTTGTCAAAACCCTAATACTGAAACAACACTATTCCAGACAGAGATGAATGATACATGATTTCTGACAGAGTGAATTAGCGCGAGATCACAGTTGAAAGAATTGATATATCAGTTGCTCCAGTCTCCGTCGGGCGTTTGGTATTTTCTTTTAACTATGGCGAGATGAGGTTTCTACGTCATAAGAGGGTCCGTTTTCAGAAGGTACTATTATTTATGTCCAAAAATAAAACATTCCAGTTAATTTTTCGATCGAATTATGTCGTCAATCATTATTTATGTATAAAAGGATCATTATAAACATGGTTTGAGTTGAAAGTTCTACTAAGGTGTACACGCCCATTACCCCTCCCATGGAATGAAGCTGGATACGCGCCTGGTCAGATGTCGACTTGAAGATATTGTTTTCATATGGCAACAAAAAAATGATAACCAAAATAAATGACAAATTTAGTTTATCTTTATATTTACAAGCATTTTGCATATGAAGTTTACTATACCTACCTACTTATACATATATTAATGATTTGTGGACTAAAATTTCACACTCCTGCATTTTGTCTGATGTATTTTCGAAGTGCTGGTATATTTGTGTACACCCCTGGATATCCTGGTTGGGCACAGTTGAATCCCCACGACACTAGACCATAAAGAATGCCGTTCACAACAAATGGTCCTCCCGAATCACCCTGTAATATGAAAATTAAATCTTTTAGCAAGACAGAGCAGTGACTGTGGCAGTGTCCCTAGATGGTCATATTTCGAGAGTCGTTTACATAAATGGCAATGTATAATGAGTATTTTCCCATTTTGTCGTGGATAGTGGATACTCATTTGTGAATCGATATACTGGGAGTCCCAAGTTATCGTATACAGGCAATATCTCGCTTATTTGAAAAGGTAATTGAACAATTCAAAAACTGCATTGAATGGCATAATGACATACAGTGTGTGCGATTTCAACCCGCAACACCCTTCTAATTCGGAACCCGTCTACCGATTTTCAGAAACGAAAATTCTATAATATGCTACTCAACGAGCTCTAATCGAAAATGTGGAAAATTTGAAATATTCAGGGCCTACTTCTGTTTGTTGAAGATGTCAAAATTGCAAAAACGACTATTAGGCATTTTTTCGAAACAGTGTAGACTATTTCTTTCAGGCATATCTGAAATACCCCTATACGAAATTTGAACGCACAATCTCATACAGGGTGTTAGTTATTCAATGGCAAATTTTGATATTTTTGATTTTTCGATTCACCGTGTATCAAATTTGAGGAGTTGGTATAACCGGTGAAGTAGTTATTCAATAGAGGAACACATCGAATACATAGGTACGAAGTTTCATTGCTGTAACTTCAACAGGAAGATTTCTCTAGATCAACCAAAAATCAATTAAGCTAAAGTGGAGATTCACCATTCTGAAAAAGTAAACCGTATTTCACACACCACACCACACAGTCACTCTGAAAATCATCTTGTTTGATGAAGAGCTGTCGAATATAACACAAATAGAATGACAGACAAATACTCTCTATACAGAGTGGGCCATTGAAAACGAAACAGCGGCTCTGTAGGTCGGAAAAACGGGATTAGGACAAAAATCTGAAACACGTCAACTAAATTCTGGAGGGGGACATCGTTCTAAAATATTTTCAGCCCTGCGGCGTTGCCGCTTCTGACGAAAAGAAGCAACAACTTTGTTATTTCAAATGGAACACCTTGTATTTCATTGCATTTTTAGATTCTTCCGGAAGAGCTGATTTCATCAATGCATCACACTTGGGGTCTAGCTGGAATGATTACAGGGATATAGGGTGTTCAAAATCGAAATTTTTCAACTTTAGGATTTTTTTGTGTCGAAACTATTCATTATTGGTCAAAACGGCTTACATGTCCCTATCTCAACTTTTGATTAACTATCTACTGATATTTAATTGGGACATATACCGGGTGATCAAGAATCTGAATTCTGCACCACCCTGTATTTGTTTCAATTAAATGTCAGTAGATAGTTGATCAAAAGTTGGGATAGGGACATGTGAGCCGTTTTGACCAATAATGAATAGTTTCGACAAAAAAAATTCCTAAAGTTGAAAAATTTCGATTTTGAACACCCTATATCTCTGTAATCATTTCCGCTAGACCCCAAGTGTGATACATCGATGAAATCAGCTCTTCAGAGAGAATCTGAAAATGCGATAAAATACAGGGTGTTCCATTTAAAATAACAAAGTTGTTGCTACTTTTCGATAGAAGCGGCAACGCCGCAGGGCTGAAAATATTTTAGAACGATGTCCCCCTCGAGAATTTAGTTGACGTGTTTCAGATTTTTTTCATAATCCCGTTTTGTCGACCTACAGAGCCGCTGTTTCGTTTTCAATGGCCCACTCTGTATAAAGACTGCTAGGAGATATACTGATGTTGGATGTGATCATAATAATATACCGATTTTGGTATGAAAATTTGAGATGACAATGAAAACTTTTATGTATAGAGAATATTTCCACAGATCAGTCACCATTGTCTACATCTCCTAGGAAAAAGTTATGGATCATAATAAAAAAAATCGATTTCAATTTCATTAATTATTATTGGTTGACCTAGAGAGATCTTCCTGTAGAAGTTACAGCGATGAAACTTCGTAACTTTCTGTTCCTCTGTTGGATAACTACTTCACTGGTTATATCAACTCCTTAGATTTTGATACAGGGTCAATCGAAAAATCAAAAATATCAAAATTCGCCATTGAATAACTAACACCCTATATGAGATCTAGCGTTCAAATTCCGTATTCCAGCAATACCGAATAGGCTAGTCACTATTTCGAAAAAAATTGCCTAATAGTCGTTTTTGAAATCTTGACCCTTTCGAAAAACAAAAGTAGGCCTTGAAAATCTGATTATTTCAAATTTCTACACATTTTCGAATAGAGCTCGTTATGGAATTTTTGTTCTTGAAAATCGGTCGACGAATTCCAAATTAGGAGGGTGTTGCGGGTTGAAATCGCACACACTGTATATGAAAAAATTACGTGTCATCCTATAAGGAATAAAAGGATAGCAGTCGGGAAAGCATATACTCGAAAAAAATTGAGGAGCAAAAAAAGCCTCTAAATTGAACGATTCACACAATTTGATCATTGAAAGATGCCAGAGGTGTACTACGAAAAAGTTTGGGGGGGATAAAGAAGCCTCTACCCCCAAATACGTATCACCCTGTAGATTTTGAAAACCTTTGAATGGCTCGAAATGATGATCTTTCAGGAAGTATTGACCACACCAAATTTCGAGATGATATCTTGAAAAGTAAGCGAGATATTTCAATTAATAGAAAAAAATTATTACACTTTGACTCCCTGTAGCTCCGCTAATGTTTATATGAATTTTTTTGATTAACATGATGAGATCTATCTCCCATTTTAGTTTGTGCCTCAAAACCTGGATCACCCTGTATACTTTTTTTTTTCATGAAACGAAATGATTTGTAAGATCAAATTACCCTCAGTTACCAAATTTCGTGAGTCTAGGATCAATGGTAACAAAAAAAAAGTTTAAGAAAACTGTATTTAAGGACCTAGGACCTAGGTACCACCTTCAAACTGCTGTAGCGTCCTTATTGGAAGTAGTAATTTCGAAACACGTTTTCTTCATATGTATTCAGCTTATTCTATGCGAGTAGAATACTATACGTTATCCACGACAACTATTGCCATTGATATATGAAATTTTTAACAACTGGTATATCAAAACTCATTATTTGACATCAAGAATACTAAGAATTGAAGATACTTGTTTAATTGATTATTCGTCCACGTCTGTTGTACTTTCTCAAGCATAAAGATAGCCATTTTTCACATCACTGAATAATAGCGGTTAATAACCATTATTCACTGATCTAATGTTCCATATTATGTTATATCGCGTACTCTATACCAGTAAATTATGGTTATTCACTGCTATTATTCACTGGTGTGAAAAATGGCTACCCTTTGCTTGTGGAAGTACATGTATTATGAATATTTCATACAACAGTCGTGGATGAAATACTTATATATGTATTGGATTTTCGACATTTTGAACATTTGAAGTTTAATAATACGTTATTCTCTAATCAATCAATTTTTATATCAAGTCTGCAATTCTTCGGAAAATTGATTCAGATGAAAAGCAATAATGTAGACAGCATTATTATAGAGGTGTAACAACTCCATAAAATTCTCTGGGACAATAGAAAGAAAATGAAAAGTATATGTTCTATTCTCAACAACAAAAAAAGAAAAGAGATCGTGGGTATTGATCATGGACCTATTACGTCCATGGTATTGATGGAGATGAAGGAAATAATATGATTTTTTCTGATTTCTTTTTCTGCTTTTGCAGATAAGTGGTAGAAGGAGGCTACTACCATCTACGAACTCAGGTTCATACCGGGTTTTTGCAGAATATCTCACCTGACAAGAATCTCTACCTCCTTCTCTGTACCCTGCACAGAACATTCTTGGAGTGATGCGGATATATCTAAAATATGAATAATCATAAATTATTACGAATGAAAATACTTACCTAAAATAATATAGTTATTTATGTACCACGGACGAAAACCTGTGTAAATCTGCAAATCAGCAATCAGTCGAGACGATAGTCAGTTTTTCGCCGAGGTGCATATTAAATTTTTTCGTCGACCGTGTGTAAGGTGGATTCATGCAAGCAAAATTTAAAACTTAAATGCATTCTGAACTTGAAACAATAATATACAACAATGAAATGTAATGTAGGTGCTCATGCAAGAAACTAAATAATAAAAACTAAAATTAAAACTAACCAACTAAAAAATCAATTTCTTTCCTACTTCACGACAGCGCATGCGCCAAATAATAACTAGCTGCGCTGGAAAAAGATTAAACAGCTGATGAAGGTTTATTGCATGAACACCCATAATATATTTCTAATTTAAAATTCGTTTAAATCTGAAGTTCATTATAATTTAGTTGATGTTGCATGAATCCACCTTTATATCCACATCACGGTCCTTTTCACATTAATTTGACAACAGCCAATGACAGTTGTTGTCAACTCACTCTCCGCGCAGACCAGGGTTGCCAGGTCGATTTTTATTTCATCAGTAAATATCTCAAAATTCAGATTTATTTTATGCTATACGAATTCCAAGAAAAAATAATGAAATAAACCTATGACGTGAAAATATTATGTACATTTAGTAAACAGAAAAATAACCTATGTTCAACAAAATAGAAACAAACAAAATACTCAATTCTCAATTCAAAAATACTCACAAATATCACAAAAGTTACATAGGTACTTATAAGATTCGAGTATATAAAAAACAGGAACGAATAGTAAAAATAAACAACAATAGTTATTTGTTTTACTATGCAGAAAAGTACAAGATTCAATACCGCGGCTGGAGTTTCATAGCCTAGGCGTATGCGAGGCTGGGAGACCAGCAAAGGTTGAAAATCACTTAGGATTCGAAAGCAGGACGTCTAATTCACTGACTTTTCATATTTCTTCTAGATAATTTTCAATTCAGAAGAATCGAATTTTGTCTCATTTCTCATGGAAGCACCCCCGTATCTCACGTAATTATTGAGATAGGGTTCTGAAATTTGCAGGAGGAAACGAAAGGGATGTCCTGATTTTGAATTCAAAGGGATTTTCAACCTCCTTGTATCATTTTTGTGGGTGGTTCCATGGCTGTTGGCGAGCAGTGTATATCACTGGAGACGACTCCACTTGGTCATAGTGTGTATTTTAAGTATTCTCAACAATTACGAAAGATACAGGGGTGCTTTCATTAGAAGTAAGACACACTGTATAATTTTCATCAAGTCAATTCTGATCTTCATATCTCTTCATCTGAAGTTTGAGCTTCAAACAAAATAAGCCTGAGATTTCAAAAATCGGTTGCCGAGGAAAAATGTTATGACTGCAAAACCAAAAAGTTAATTTTTTGAGATCACTCTGTAAAAAAAAGAGATAAGGAGACGATTCAAGAACTGTCCCAAGATAATGAGATCATCTACATGCCTCTACTGTCATTGTTTAAAAAATTTGTTTTCTTGATTTGGGATACTTTTGAAGTTTCTGAAATGTTGTACAGTTTCAGGTAACACCCTGTAGCGATTTTATGTGAATAACCTCATGTTTCAAAGAATTACGAGATTATAGATCAAGGAATGGGCTAGCGAACAGTGTGATCCAAATTCAAATCGTTCAAAGCAGAAAAAAATTATTTATAATTCAACAGAGGCAAAATTTTGGGATGCGACGAAATCAGTGTTGCATAGTTTATTCCGATACACCTGGAGATTGTCCACCCTATCTGGTACACCCTCTTCCTAATAACACAAGTTAGTCCAATGTACATCCAAATATACAGGGTGTTTCGAAATTCGACCGACAACGCTTCACAGGTGGTAGCTCTCGTGATTTAATAAATAATGAGGCAGGAACATAAGGCTCTGACGTGCTTAGTTATCGAGATACAGGGTGTTAAAGTTGAGAAATAAAAATAGTTTTTTCGCAATATCTCAAAAACGGCTGATTTTTTTTCATTAAAATTCGATGAGCATATTAAAATTGAGAATCTCCATTTCCAGACGTCGAATTCATATTTGACAATTGATCCAGTGGCGCCATTAAGGGGGTATGATTGCATGATTTTCCAAAAAAACATGTGTTGCGATATGAATTTTGGAAATTTTATATGATTATATCAAAGACCATTCAATTTTGAATTAAAAATGCATACTTGATGGATCTCGATAGAACCCACCATTTTCGAGAAAAAACGAAAAATGTAAATAGTATTCCAATCACTTCATTCCCAATCGATCAATCAGATAAAGAAAATTCACCCAAAAAACCACAACAATATTGAAAAAACTATAAATAAGTATTTCGGAAACTAAGTAGACATCCTTAGTAGTCCTCAGTCCCACAGGTTATTTTCGGAGAATATCTCAGTCAGCGAACTATTTTTTACTTTTCAGGACTTCTGAGGATGGCAATTCAGTTGCCGAAATACGTATCAAGAGTTTTTTCGATACTGTTGTGGTTTTTTGGGTGAATTTTTCTCATTTGATTGATCGATTTGAAATGAAGTAATTGGAAGACTATTTACATTTTTCGTTTTTTCTCGGAAATGGTGGGTTCTATCGAGATCCATCAAGTATGCATTTTCAATTCAAAATTGAATGGTCTTTGATATAATCATATAAAATTTTCAAAATTCATATCGCAACACATGTTTTTTTGGAAAATCATGCAATCATACCCCCTTAATGGCGCCACTGGAAGAATTGTCAAATATGAATCCGACGTCTAGAAATTAAGATTCTGAAGTTTGATTCGCTCATCGAATTTGAATGCAAAAAAATCAGCTGTTTTTGAGATATTGGGGAAAAACTATTTTTATTTCTCAGTTTCAACACCCTGTATCTCGATAACTAAGCACGTTAGACCTTTATGTTCCTACCTCATTATTCATCAAATCACGAGAGATACCATCTGTGAAGTGTTGTCGGTCGAATTTCGAAACACCCTGTATATTCTAACGAAAAATTAGTGCGTACCTGTAGCTGAACTGACAAAACCACGATGGCAGTACCGGTAGTTCTACGGCGTGAAGAAAATCCGGTTGGAAAGGAAAGATGCCCGAGATGCTGCCCCAGCCTGATACGTTTCCCTTGGTGTGATCAGGCAGGCTTTGGAATTCTTCGGGAAGTTTTACGGGTCGGATGCTGTTCGAGAACCTAGAAAGATGACAGACTAAAGATAGGTAACATGTAGAATACGTTTTGTTGTATATTTATACACTAATTTCAGGGAGGTAATGTTGAGCTAACGTTTCTCTATCAACGTTTCCACGGTCATATCATATGGAATATGGATCTACTACAATCATCGTAAATGAAAGAGTATAGTTATTTTTGTATCTAGAGCGCGAAATGCTACTTTGGTGATCGAGATCCGAGTTAAAAAAATAGTCGAGATGACCAAAGTATTTCGCGCTCGAGTTGCAAACAACATTTTTTCTACAAACGTCAAAAAATATAGTTCTGAAGTGAAAATATGCTTAGCTTTATATAAAAAATAATGTTGAACTGGCTTAAAAGGCCTCCCCCTATCGTCCCTAGGTACGCACGATGTTCTACGAACATAATATGAACATTCAGAAATAAATGTATTTAAAATGACCGTCTTTGGAACGTTTCGAATATTTGAGGCCAATATCGTGAGGACGTCCATAGGACAAACTTGTGCTATCTGGACTAAACTTGGATATGAATCGGGGTGGATGGAATGTGAATTGACGTATTTGTCATCTTAACAGGGTACGGACAGATCCTCATCATCTCCTCTCACTCTAAAGTGTTTATGAAACAGTTATATAGTTCCATCTTTATTCATTTTTGGGTATATAAACACTAGTTTTCTGACATTTGTTGTTTTTTAGGTTATATTGAGGACATTGGCGTATCATAGGTAATTTCCACATGTAATTTCTCATTCAACTCTACATATTATATCCAAATGATGATGATAATTTTCGAGTTTTTGATTTTTCAACTCCAGCATAATCTTTGTGAGGAAGTGAGCAAATTTTTCTGTGAGTTTAATACGTTTTTCCAAATGGGACTGTTCTTAGGCAGTACCAATTTCCTCCATTCGGTCACTTCACTTTCCATGTTCTAAGTTCATTTGCATTTGATGGAAAGCTGACAAATTGAAATTTGCATTCCAACTGATTGATACAGCCTAACGCGACACATTTTACCATCCTTCCAAAACAGAATTGAATAATGTCGTATTAAGATTAAGTATGAAATAACAATTTTGTAAGATTTCTTTCAACGCCTATGAATGTGACGTGACAGCAATGTCATGTCAGGGACGCCAATACACGAAACCAAAATCACTAGATGATTAAAAGGGCAATTCGTCTCGTAGGTGATGCCTCGCTCACAACTCACTCACTTCTCTGGAACACCGTAGAAAAGTTGACGTTCTGGCTCTATTTTATAGATATTTTCATGGACGATGCTCTTCTGAAATATCAACAATTGTTCCTCCCTTGGCAGTTACCGCGAGATTAACCCGTCGAGTTGAGGCTTCGCACCCCTTCGTGGTCACTTTGGAGACCTGCAGAACATCTCTTTCCTAAGATTCGTTCATCCAACGAACCTCGAGGCTCTAGAACACATTGCCAAGGGAGGTGTTCCCCGAGGCATATGACCACCAGAAATTTAAGAACACCAATTCCTACCTTATTTCCCTTGGTTCTCACGATGTTCTCTGAACATTACAGGATATCCCTTTTCGTGGGAACCAGAACATAACGAAGAAATTTGTCCGTACCATGTCCATATCCTGTTAGATGACAAATACGTCAGTTTGTATCATGGGACCCTACCTTAACGGTCTGCTGAACTTTAGTATTCCGATATCGTAATCGTCGTTCCGCAGGTTGTTTTCTGGATGCAAAATGGCTCTTCTGACTGGAACGATCACTCCTCCTGAATCGACAGAGGAACTTCCGGCTCTCACCGTGTAACTTCCGGATTTGGGCAGGCAGTGGGCTGCTGTTAAGCCGGTGTCAGCGCTGATCAAGACTGCCCCGCAAATTGGCTTTCCGTTCAGTCTGAAAAATGGGAAAGTACACATAGCCGCTGTTGTTCAGGTACAGGGTCTTCACGTATATTCTGAACCTCATTTCGATAACTTTTTCGTTTATTGTTTTTTTTTGTTACAAAAAACGGTTCTTGATAATTTTTCCTGCAGGCCCGGATTAGAAATTTTGGCGCTTAGTAGCACATATTTTGCCGCTCCCCAGTACGAATGTTTGGTTAGGTTCTACTTTTTCACATCATATTGTGAAAGGACATACATATATTTTCGATAAAGTCAGGCAATTATAAATAAAATATTGGTTACAGAACATACAGGCTGATTCACGATGGATGGCACGTTAGACGTTTATGGAGAACGGGACATAGGATCATCCTGAAATTTTGGTTACTCACGTAGTTGCTCTTGGTCTATCGATCTAAAATATTTTCAGCTCTGCAGCGTTGCCGCTTCTATCGAAAAGAAGCAACAACTTTGTTATTTTGAATAAAACACCCTGTATTTTATTGCATTTTCAGATTCTTTCTCAAGAGCTGATTTCATCGATGTATCACACTTGGGGGGTCTAGCGGAAGTGATTACAGAGATATAGGGTGTGAAAAATCGACATTTTTCAACTTAAGGAATTTTTTTTGTCGAAACTATTCATTATTGGTCTAAACGGCTCACATGTCCCTATCTCAACTTTTGATCAACTATCTACTGACATTTAATTGAAACAAATACAGGGTCGTGCAGAATTCAGAAACTTGATCACCCGGTATATGTTTCAATTAAATGTCAGTAGATAGTTGATCAAAAGTTGAGATAGGGACATGTGAGCCGTTTTGACCAATAATGAATAGTTTCGACAAAAAAAAGTCCTTAAGTTGAAAAATGTCGATTTTTCACACCCTATATCTCTGTAATCATTTCCGCTAGACCCCAAGCGTGATACATCGATGAAATCAGCTCTTCAGAGAGAATCTGAAAATGCAATAAAATACAGGGTGTTCCCTTTAAAATAACAAAGTTGTTGCTTCTTTTCGATAGAAGCGGCAACGCTGCAGAGCTGAAAATATTTTAGATCGATAGACCAAGAGCAACTACGTGAGCAACCAAAATTTCAGGATGATCCTATGTCCCGTTCTCCATAAACGTCTAACGTGCCATCCACCGTGAATCAGCCTGTATACAGGGTGTTTCGAAATTCGACCGACAACGCTTGACAGGTGATAGCCCTCGTGATTTCATAATCATTGAGATAGGAACATTCGGTCTTCAAGTGTTCAGTTCTCGAGATACAGGGCGTTGAAGTTGAGAAATTTAAATAGTTGTTTCGCAATATCTCAAGAATAATTTAATATAATGCATTCAAATTCGGTATATGGTTTCATCTTTCACTGATTAATTTCTTGACCAGAAAGACATTCCGAGAATTTTATCCAGAGATGCGCTACAGAGGGTTGTGATAACTTTTCCTCCCATATTTTCTACGCCACTGATGAAATTTCAATTATTTCCAATTTCTCGAATTGTTTGTTCAGTTATGTTGAAAAAATGCATCACCTTCAACTGAGCTAAAATGAACAGTTATCGGGATATTTGACCCAAAATAGAAGTATGCATAGTAATTTTTCATCTTCCTCGGTAGTAAAAAATTACGAAAATTTTTGTTTTCTCTTCATGTGTGGAATAACTATTTCTGTTCAGCTATGGAATGAGATCTGAATAGTATCTAATCTACTCAACACCAGAAAAATATTTTTGCAATTTTCTACTACTGAAAATGATGAAATATTACTATGCAATCTTCTATTTTGGGTCGAATATCTCGAAAACTGTTTATTTCAGCTCAGTTGAAGGTGATGCATTTTCTGAACAAAATTGAACAATGAATTCGAGGAATTGGAAATAATCGAAATTCAATCAGTGGCGTAGAAAATATGGAAGGAAAAAATGCCACAACCCCCTGTAGGGCACCACTGGACAAAATGTCCGGAATGGCTTCCAGGTCAAAAAATGGCCCATTCAAAGATGAAACCATATACCGAAGTTGAATGCATTATATTCAATTATTCTTGAGATATTGCGAAACAACTATTTTCATTTCTCAACTTCAACGCCCTGTATCTCGAGAACTGAACACTTGAAGACCGAATGTTCCTATCTCAATGATTATGAAATCACGAGGGCTATCACCTGTCAAACGTTGTCGGTCGAATTTCGAAACACCCTGTATAGTTAAAACATAAATGAAATATTGAATGAAAGGGTAATCTCTTGACTGGACTAATTGAAATACTGGTATTTTTAAAATTAGCTTGAACATGTATCTTTTTCTCCAAATTCGTTCCAATTGCATGTAAAAACCAAATAATCCTTCATTCTGAGTTCACCGAAAATCATTGTCACTTTTGATTTCCAATTTGATTCAAATAATTACTTGGAACGTTGCATTGCAACAAACATTTTCTGCCGTTTCTTGAAAAAGAAAAACATTGAAGAAATAATAAACAAGAATGTTAAGAGGGGGTTTAAAATATACGTGAAGACCCTGTACAGTGCACTCCATTTTAGTTCAGACTTCCAGTTTTCTCAGTTGTTATTGATAAGATGAAACTTTGCGGTTTTCACATTCCTGATGTCCAACTATTTTGTGGAACTCAAGATGGTCTAATCACATTTTGCATAAGCTGTTTCCGTTTATGGAATAATGAGGAGCAATTTTGAATAGGAAAGAATTATTTGTCATGTGTATCAAGGAATAAATTAGTTCACGATGTATTCTGAATGTTGAAATTAGGAATTAGAATTCATGTTTCGCATTTCTCCGAATTATCTCTCAAAATATAATTATTCGAAAAGTTACTTTGGTTATCATTTCCCAAATTTATACAGGGTGTCCTGAAATTATCCTGCCATACGCCAGTAGCAGATTCTTCAATAAACATAAATCTAGAAATGACTAATTAGGGAGCTACGGCCTCCTCAAAGGGGCTCCTGATGATGATATTTCCTGAATATTTCCGAAACGTCATGTGGACACTCCGGAGATCTTATGCTAAATAGGTCGGGGTGAAAGTTATTCAAACATTTTACCCGTAAGAGGGTTACATAGAAAAAATTTTGTGCATGTGTTTTTTACGAGATTTTATGCAGAATTATAAAATCTCAGGTTTTTTTTACAGGAAAAGGTGCTCCTAGATAAATGGCTGGCTAGTGTCGGGTATATTATTTGAAAATTGGCAACGTTATGCATAAGATGTGGGTGTAACAATATTTTGAAATGGATTCCACTCAAAAATTATGCAGCTGATCGATACGGAACAAGAGCACCTTTCATTGTAAAACGGTGTGGATATTCATTATCCGAGGTAAAACTGTCAAAAAATATGCATACAAAAATACAAAGTTTGAGTAATATTTAATGTAGTCCCACCCTGTATTTAATACTCCTGAATGAAATTTTGGAATTATATTTCCATTGGGCATAGAAATTTTAGTTCTTGTACCGGATTGTATCATTTTATCACATGGCGTTTCGGAAATATTCACGAAATATCATCTTCCGGAGCTCTCGACTTATGATTATTGGAACTTTTCTCTCTATTTTTGGTCGAAGCATCTGCTACTGAAGTATGGCAGGATAATTTCGGGACACCTTGTATAATTGATTATGTTATCCAATACATGGATAGGTACCTATAGATATAAACATACCTTAAACTGAGTTGATATGGAAAATCATCTATTGAGACTTTTCTTCCTCCCACTATTCGGTTCACAGCAAAAACTTGATCATTCAGTGTAACTTAAAAAAAAAATGAAAAGTATTGAAAATGTTGTTATAGTGATGTAAGTTAGAATGTTCCTATAGGGTTATCCAACGGAGAGGACAACCCCTATAATCACTTTTTTTCACCGATTGTTACACGCATTATTACGGAATAGATTTATATTCCGAGATCCAATGAGATTTCTCCGATTTCCTAAAACCGACCAATCACCAGGCATTTGTAGTGATAAAAAAGCTACCTAGCTTTCCCAATATCCGATAAATATACAGGGTGTCCCGAAATTAGCCTGCCAAATTTCACTAGCGGCTTCTACGACTAAAAATAGGAAGAAAAGTCACTTTTTTCCTATTTTATTCTATCTTAGAGGCCGCTGGTGAAGTTTGGCAGGCTAATTTTGGGACACCCTGTATATATGCCTTTCTTTCAATCAACACACTTATTGTATATACAAATGTCACCGTCACTACCGTCAGTTAATTTTCGAGTTTTTCATACAATTAAACATGTATTTATTGATAAAAACATTATCTCTTATGTATTTTCCCCGAAAAAAAAACCAATATGCATGCGAAAGTAGAATGCGCCTCTTCACAGCCTCTTACAGAAGTTTTATTGGGTGATCACTCAAAAGCGTGACGAACCACAAAATCTTTTTTTTTAATATTTTGCATTTCCATGTTGAGAACGGGAGCAGATTCGTTCTCGAAACGACCAAAGATGAGTACAAATTCGATATTTTTTCAATATATCTATATTTCCTCTCTTCAAACATTTTTCTAAACAAAGTGTCACTGAAACACGATCCCATTTTCCTATTGAATTTTGAGGGTTGTTCACCTCCCAGGGTTGAAACCATGGAGGTGGAAAAAGCTGAAAATGTGTTCCTTCCCAAATCAAAAGTCGACATGTTTGAGCATGTTTCTCAATTTTCATTTCAAATCCTTAAAATTGGGATAGAAAGTTTCCATTGGCCCACCATGTATATCTATGTTTTAGTCCTATTTTTGAGCTTCTTGATATAAATTCGCTCACTTCCCGGACGCTTTTTCTTTGAGAAAGTAGCATTTTCCGGCCTTCCCTTCTTGGTAGATACGGTTTTGATAAATGCAGATGATAATTACCATAGCAGCGAAATATCGGCTGACAGCTATTTGACATGAAATTAGTTGACATTTGGATTTTTTAAAGTTTTGTTGCAATTATCGCAATAAACTATCGAAAGCAGCAGCGATAGTGAGTTTGATACAGACGAAATTTCCAATGTAGCAGTTAGTAGGTATAGGTATTCTGTTCAAATTTCAGTATTTGATACAAACAAGAATTGATAAATAAGAAATTGTATTCCACATATGGTTGCCGCATTGTTGCTGACAAAATTTTGTACGCAACACGTCCAAAAAACAATATTATCCGGGCTTGTTACGTAAATTACTATTTTAGGTTGAATATTGCAATGCAAATTTGAACTAAAGTTCTAATTGAGGTACAATCTGAATTTTTTCCATATCTGGATAGATATAATTTCAACTGTGGAATAATATACCCAATCAGTTAGATTAAATTTTTGATAATGCTACTATACCCATCAATTCCATTTACCGTGAGAAAATATTCTGTCGATAGCCATTTCCATTTAAAATTGTGAGAGGATATGTTTCAAACCTCATATTCGCATGAAAAAAATGGTAAGAGATGAACGTCCTAGAGACCTCTTGCGGCTGCCTTGTAGAATGTAAGATAATATAGGGTGATATTATATTGTTAAGTATACTCTGTACTGCTCTGTATAATAGGTTGAGCGAGGACAACGCACGGTGTGGGTTGTTAACACTGTTGTTATCAAGACGCACGATGTATTAGGTTGTTTAGGTTTTCGGGAACGTTCCTATGTCATGATTGATTGTATATACAGGGTGTTTCAGTTTTTTGTAGCAGGACTTCAACAGCTTGAAGAAGACATTTTTTCAAGATGAAAATCTCATACAAACATATATGCGTGGAAGCTTCGTTTCCGATTTACAGGGTGTCAAAGTTTCAGATTTTTTTTATGTCTTTTGAATTTTCTCCTACAATTCTCGGAATAATTGATTGAAATTTGGTACACCTAATACACTACAAAAACTCAATATTTGAGGCTATTGAGCGTTTTTGAATACCTACAGGGTGATAGACTTTCAGGGGTCGTACCCAATTTCAACCTGTAGAACTTTTTTGCGTACCGTCTCTGCTTTCAATGGGACATAGATTCAAATTGTCCTTTCAATTTGGAAACTTTTTGCTTCCATGTAAATTTTTCGAAAACTGTATGGATCTCGAGATGAATGCCAAAAATAAATTACTTGTAATAAAACCGTTATTGGAGTGTATGACACACGGTCTAGTCGCTATACATCGCTAGACTGTTGCTTTTGACGGTTGAGGTGTTGTGAGTTTTAATAATTCAATCTCGTGAACGGCAGTTCTAATTTTATCAGTACCCTTCCCAGATAACACAGGATATCCTATGGATATCCTTCTCAAGTCCATTTCAGGTCGGGATATCCTGGGACATGAAATGGATATCCATAGGATATCCGTCAGAGGATATCAAATGGATATTCTGATGCGGATCACCTATGGACGTCCATAAGATGTTCGTTTAGCGAACAAAAATTGTTAATTGAGAATGGTTCAAAACAATACGAATCATCACAAATATCACATGCAAATCACATGTTTATTAGAAATTCAAAGGTAGTTTTCCATCATATAACTATTGTTATGTAGGTATAATATGTTTATAGCCACAATTAAGATATCCGATGCAAATATGAATTCATATAAATAACAACACCACAGTTTGGAATTTTTCTCTGTTGTTCAATGTTTTCGTACAAAAATATACAATCACTCGAAAATAGCTCTCATATATTTACTTTTTTGTGGTCTTCAGATGGACATCCATGAGATATTCATCCATGGATTTATAGCGGATATCCATCAGAAGATATCTTACCCAGATAGCACAAGACGTCTTTAAGATGTCTGAATTATATCCTATCTTAGTCTGTACGTCTTACTCCCTGAATAAGACGTCTACAAGATGTCATCATTCAGACGTTTTAAAGATATCTGATTCTCACGTCCTGAATACGTCTTAAAGACATCGTAATAATACAAATAAGCAATAATGATATTTGGTATATTATAATAAGTATTAATCATAATGACTTTTAGTGTGTCATATCTGAACGTTCTCCACTCTCAGAATTCCTGAATTCCACACTTAGTTATGGTTCTATTCTCATAATATGCGTTAAACTTTTAATAAGAAATATAGGTATGATCATATTGATTCAGGCTAATAGAATATTTTCAATTTCATAATTTTTATAACTTCACCGTAATACATAGAGGTTATATAGATTGTTCAGAGTAAGTTATTTTATAAATCGGGTGGGATGATTTGAAAATACCGCCATGTCAAACGAAAGAGAGATCGTAGCGCCAGAGCCAGAATGAAGCTGAGCTCATAAATGCGGGCCACCTGGTTTTGGCTGGTCAAATGGATGCAAATGATTGCATTGAAGTATAATAAGTATTATGCCTCATTATGTTTACAGTCCACTGTGTGTGTCAGGTAAGAAGAACTCTCCCTAATAATGATATTGGTAAACTCCTGAAACTCAACTCTATATCATTGTTTTCAGGAAGAATGTGGGATCTTCCAGAGATATAAATATGCTTGGTTGACACAAAAAGCAATCAACAGAGGGACTAATACAATCAGTATTCCTATAGATGAGATGCCCTGTTTTAAGAAAAAAATGAAGAGACCAGTTATATGAAACATAATGAATATTCTCAATTTTCCTATCACAAACAGGGTGGACGAGCAACTTCTTTTCTGGAAATGTCAAACCTGTCCTTGGTAGTTGTACTTTTCAAATAAATGTCACAAAGATCAACTATTTATTTGTGTTGTATGTACCTACATGTTTGCTTCATAACTGGCACTTTAACCGAGGATGGCATTTTCAAACGGGACACCCTGTATTTTATTCCATAATCGGTTAAGGATTATCATAACGAATTCAACGATACTGTGTTTGATAGGATTTCTACAAACGATTAGGAAGATATTCACATTTCCATATCCTCAATGAGCATATGAAAACTTCGAATGCTAATATCTTCATAATCGTTTGAAATAACCCTATCCAATCCGGTACCGTTGAATTCGTTATAATAGTTCCTAATTCATTATGGAATAATATACATGGTGTTCTATATTATTAAGGATATTTAGTAAATATCCCTGAAAAATATCTCATGGATATTTTTAAACAATATCTTATGGATATCCCTGAAAAATGTCTTATGGATATTTGTGAACAATATCTTATGGATATCCCTGAAAAATGTCTTATGGATGTCCCTGAAGGATATCCTATAGAAGTCCAACTCCTTCCACTCGGCACGTCCAATGGACGTCCATAAGATATACATCGGATATCACTGGATATTCTCTGGATATCCCAAATATCCTAAATGGACGTCCAATGGATGTCCATCGAATGTCCGTGTGTTGACTGGGTTAGGAGTGGTTCGGATTCCGCTTTTATTCATCTCGATATGCATACAGTTTTCGAAAAACAGACATGGGGGGGAAAAGTTTCCAAATTGCAGAGAAAATCTGAATATATGCCCCATTGAAAGCAGAGGCGGCACGCAAAAAAGTTCTACAGGGTTAAATCGGGTACGACCCCTGAAAGTCTATCACCTTGTAGGTATTCAAAAACGCTCAATAGCCTCAAATATTGAGTTTTTGAAGTGTATTAGGTGTACCAGATTTCAATCAATTATTCCGAAAATTGTAGGAGAAAATTCAAAAAACATAAAAAAATCTGAAACTTTGACACCCTGCAAATCAGAAACGAAGCACCCACGCATATATGTTTGTTTGGGATTTTCATCTTGAAAAAATGTCTTCTTCAAGTTGTTAAAGTCCTGCTACAAAAAACTGAAACACCCTGTATATATCTTGTATTACCAATAAAGACGCAATTGATTCTAAATTGATTTTGAATTGATTACTAAAATGTCTGTCACTATACATTCACAAACCCGTTATTAACCTGGAATAGGGATCTTTAATCCTATTACAGCCTCTCGATATCATGAGTGCATCATTCGACTCTTCCTCACGACAGAGACGTCCTGAAACGTCTTCAAGACGCCTCTGTATAGGATATCATTGGAATGTTCTGATGACATATCATCTGCATGTAGAAAATGGTAAAAGGTGAACGTCCTCGAAACGTCTTGCGGCTGCCTCTCGACATCAAAAGTGCATCATTCACATCCCTCAGGAAGTTCCTGTAACGTCTTAGGGACGTCTTCTTAGGATGTCATTGGGATACTCTTAGACGACATTTGCATGTAGAGTATGGTAACAGGTGGGCGAATGCATTATCAGGACATTATTAGAACTTCCTCAAACTGAACCTCAGGTGACGTGCAGATAATTGGAAGTCGTGTAGAATGAGGTATACTCGATCCCGCCATTCTATTTTTAAAAAAATGTTACAAAATGGTATCCAGGTGCCATTTTGAAAGTTAAATATGTTTCATCGGAATAAAAATGTAGCACTTGAACTACCATTTTAGATAAATACAGTTTGTCTTGAGATTGTGTGGTTTGTTTTCTCAGTGACCTTATACTCTACAGACAAAAAAATTATTTCTCTAACCAACGAAATATGCTTTCCTGGTCCTTTTAAATCTATGCTTCGAGCATATGGTTGGTTTATAAATATACTCAAATGAATATTTCCTCAATACCAGAAATTGATATTCGCAGGAAATTGCTTTCAAAATGAAACAATATTTTTTTGAGCTGAGAAGATATTAGGGTATTTTTCGTAAAAAATTCAAATATTTACAATGGAATGAAACTGTTCAACTTGAATATATCATATTCTCACTTCGAAAAAAAATTATTCATTCGAGCCAAGTACATTAAATCGTTATTTCTATACTTTGCCAGTATTGATTTCTTGCTTCAATAATACAATTATTTCTTAGTAAGAAGTAAAGCTACTTGGTGTACCAATGAATATATAGGTTTGAACCAAAGATGTCGCATTATTTCAATGAAAAATATAATTAAATGACATATCCTACCAGAGACTTTATAGCTGTCCAAGCGATCGCTGTAAGAATCAACATTTCTTCAAAACAAAGTAATGGAAAATTCGAATGAAGAAATCAATAGATGATAAATATTAAAACAAGATAGTGATATTTCATACAAGAATCAATATTTTTTTTACAAGAGAATTCAAGAGTTCTTGAAAGAATTATGTTCTCTTGAATGAAGCAATGAAAATATTGATTTGAGAAGAGCGGAATGCTATTTCCAAAAATATTTATTCAGAATCACAAAATATATTCTCATTCAGAGTAATTCTTTTTGAAAAAATATATTTTCTTGGAACGAGAAATCTTTTTTATGTGTGTAAGTATTGTCAAAGAATATAGGTTATTGTTTTCAGTTTGATTTTTAATTTTATCACCAAATAATAAATCTATACCGAATTAACAAGGCAAATTACTTCGTAATAAGGTTCTGAGTTAACCTTCAAAATATACATTTTGAATGACGATTATACATGTCAGAGCATCAGCTGGAACAAATTATTCGAATAACTATAGTTAGAGTTCAATAATAAATATTGTTCAAATGAACGACTTACAATAACAAATTTCAATCAATCAGATATACGTGCCAACTCATACTACAATCAACGAATCAAATTGTGAGTTTATTGGTGTTTTCATTATTCAGATTCAGAAAACACTACAAAAGGAGAATGGGCTGGATGTATGAATATGGACCTAAATAGGTATTTTCTCTCAACAGGATGGGGTGGCTCTCATTCTTGGCCCCCTAGGTCCCCTAATCTAACAGTATTAGACTATTATATCTATCTATCCATGAAACTATTGGTATATCAGACTAAAGTCAACAACAGAGAGGAACTGAGGAAGAGGATAGATACAGATTCAGATATGATCAGAAATGAGGCAAATTATCCGAAAAACCATAAGAGAGCTGCCGAAGATGTGCAGAAAATGTATAGAAATTGGGAAGGAGGACATTGCGAGAATTTTTGTTGAAAAATATTAGGATTTACAGACGAATCTTTTTCGAGAATTACAAATTGAAAAGCTACACTTTGGTTTTTCCTGATCTTCCTGATTCTGTTGAAAGTTTTCGAAAAATACGATTCAAAAAATTTTGACATTTGAAAAGAACATGAGTTCTCCAAGTCCAGCTCTCGAATTTTTCTTCCATAGAAGGCCATCGTTTGGTGTGTCAGTCGTGGTAAATTGCTAGAGAATTCCAGGCGAAAACATCAAGACGTTTCTGAAATATCGTTTCGTATCAAAGTTTCGCGCCGAATTCAAATAATGCTCTGTATTCCTGGTAGGAATAGGCAGAATATATTTTTCACATATACAGGGTGTTTCATTACTAATTGGAAATATGATAAATATGAAGATTTAACCCAAATCACCTAGATAAAATATGTCTCCTGACTGAGTTACATGGTGTTTCATTCAAAAATTATGAAATTTTTTTTGCCCAGTTCTCCAAAACTATTTGACGTATCACTTCCATATTTGAAGGAAAGTGTAGGCATTATACATCCAACTGAATTATGTGAAATGAACTTTTCTAACTATTACCAGAGGTGTACGACGGGGGCAAGTGACTGGTTGATCCTTCCCAAATTCTACGCCACTGGCGGAATAGCAATTTTATCAAAATTTTTCGATTCTTCAATACCTTCTTCGTAAATATTGTAATCTTTCTTCATAGCGATAAAGTCATTATTTTTCGAAATATTTCAAGTTAAACATGAAGCAGCACAATTATTTTGATTTTAATGTGTATCAATAATGTCGATATTTTGGATCAATGGACTGCATTCATCAATCAAATGAAACTTCAATCCATATTGACATAGAAATATAACAGACGGGAGCTGTTACAGGGCGTTTTAAATTTTTTAATATATTACATAATTAAACACCCTGTAACCTGTAACAACTCCTGCCTGTTATTTAATTATGTTTTTATTGTTAATATGGATTGAAGTTTCATTTTATTGATGAATACAATCCATTGATCCAAAATATTGACAAAATTAATGCACATTGAAATCAAAATGATTGTGCAGATTTATGGTTAACTTGAAATATCTCGAAAAATGACGACTTTATCGCCATGGAGAAAAAGTACAATATCTACGTCAAAATTGTTATTGGAGAATCAAGAATTTGTGATAGAATTGCGATTCCGCCAGTGGCGTAGAATTTGGGAGGGATCAACCAATTAATTGCCCCTGTCGTACGCCTCTGGTAATAGCTAGAAAAGTTCATTCCACATAATTCAGTTGGGTGTATAATACCTACACTTCCCTCCAAATATGAAAGTGATACGTCAAATAGTTTTGAAGAACTGGGCAAAAAACATTTCAAATTTTTTTGAAAAAACACCCTGTAACTCAGACAGGAGACACATTTTATATAGGTGATTTGGGTTAAATCTTCATATTTTGAGTTGGGGATTCTATGGTTGAAATATTTCCAATTAGTAATGAAACACCCTGTATATCAACTCACCTTGACTTCCTCTATCCGCCATTAGGCTATGACTGGTTAGTCATGACTCACCCTGTATATATCTAGGCACATCGAAGTTCAAATTTTCATATTCAATAAACAATAAATCTTTTGTATAGGTAATACTGAAAGTCACATTTCCAAACTATATTCCTATAATCAGCAATTATTATTAAACAGAAATAACTTCAAAATTAATTGATTTAAAAACCATATTGCCTCAGCTGCTCGTACAAAATTACAGGATAGGTAATCGGGATATTTTAGTCTATATATTGCCCGTAGCAACAGGAAAAACGGCACTTACCCAACTCAATCAAGAACAACCACAGCGGTAACATTTCATTTGTGTACCTAGTGTGAATGGAATATTTGTTATCGGGTATTCATAAATATAGTTTAGCATTATCAGTTTCACCTTTACCTTGTTAGAAGTTTCGAAATGAACTTCGCGATTGTCATAACTTTTAGCCGTTCCAAAATGGTTCCATGTGGGTTGTGAATCTTCATAAGGAAAAAAAGAAACCCACACAATATAGGTACTCTCATATCCAATATAATTGAGTTTATATTGTTTGCGGATAACATGCATATAATATGGTCACCTAATTTGTATGTTAAGGTCTCTTCTAGACAGTGGTGGCTCGTCAGGAAGCGGGCAGTGAAAACGGGAAAGCATTATATTATTCATTACCTAAAATTTTTTTCACTTTAGTTTATAACCAAGGTGACTTCTGTCATCCAAGTCTTAATTTGATCATGAGTCATAACAAGAGTTTTCTCAAACATGGTACCTATGATATAAACAAGAGTCTCGAGATCATACCCGTGTGTTCACCGAACACGCTCGATCGTTACCTAAGCGGTGGGGAGACCGAGACGTAAGCAGGCAGTCATGATACGAGAGGGCAGGCAGCTTCTCTCATGTACGGGGTGCGAGACGGGGTGGGCCACCAACAGTTTTCTTGATCACATTTCAACATTTTTTTTTTCGAATAAATAATAAACATTTGATAGGCATCAAGTGATCTACTGCGACCTATCAGATAATGAAAGCGATGATTTGATTTGCAATAATTCGCTATGTCACGACGAGTCCTACATGTAAATAGCGAACCACTCATCGAAAATCATGAAACTATATGTACATATTATATGCTATATGCTTATGTTTTGTTGGCGAGGACGCTCGTTTTATTCAAATTATTTTCGATAATGTTCATCTGCTTCACTAGAAATTATTATTAGTAGTTATGTAGAACTTAGTAGTATAGTATAGTAGCAGCTTTGTTATTCAAAATGGAACACCTTATATTTTATTACATTTTTCGATTCTTCTAATTGAGCTATGATTTCGTTGATCAAGCTCAAGGTATATACTTATACGTAGAATGTGAAAAATCGAGATTTTTTTTGTATCGAAACTATACAATATCTATATTGATTTGTCAAAATGGCTTACATGTGTCCCTATCCTAACATTCTATTTACTATCTACTGATGCCATTTAATTGAAACAAATACAGGGTGGATCAGATTTCAGAATTATATAAAAGAAGTACTAGTATGCCTACTAAAAATATATATACAGGGTGTTTCAAAATTCAGTATCAAGATTTTAGGGGCGTATTTTTCAGGTCAAAATAAGACGTTTTTGTCCATAAACATGTGTCCGCAAACGCTTCGTTACCGATCTACAGAGCGTTAAAGTTTCAAGATTTTTTTATTCTTTTCTTCATAGCTCTTTCAATTTTTGAGATATTAAGATCAAATTTGGAATGTAGGTTACGTTCTAGGGCTTACATCATCCAGCATGCCGAGTGATTGTGAGAATCTACAGGGAGATATTTTTTTCAGGGGTCAAGCCCTTTTTTACCCCATAAACTTTTTTGTGGTGCGCCGCTGGTGAATTCTGAGATACGAAATGAATTCTTTGTTTTGTTTATAAATTTTTTTGTCTCTTGTAATTTTCACGCATCTGCGATCGTTATCGAGAAAAAAGTAAAATCAATTTTTGTGATTCGCTACATTTAATTAAAATTTTCAACGGAACAATGAAAAAGCGAATTAGTGGGCTTTGACTGCTATTTTCATTTTGACGTTTAGGTTTGTTTTGAAGCATTTGACATTATTTGAAAGTTGGTGGATGTCTCATCGTGTATTTGTTTAACTTTAACGCTCTGTAGATCGGTAACGAAGCGTTTGCGGACACATGTTTATGGACAAAAACGTCTTATTTTGACCTGAAAAATACGCCCCTAAAATCTTGATACTGAATTTTGAAACACCCTGTATATATATGTATTTCAAATAAACAAAACAAATATATCACATAAAAAAACACATTCTAATATTCAACCTAAAATAAAATTCAATCCCACACTGGATGTATTTAAAAATATATAAACAGTGTGCATGTCACTTCTATAATGGAATATCAACCCGTATATCTAACGTAACTGTTCAATTTTAAGGAGCGATAGATATATATACCAACTATGACCAAAGTGAGGTAATCTTCAGTGAAAAACACTGCTCTGGTCATGGACCCACCAACATTTCCGGAAAATGATATTAGGAGGCAAGATAGGTTGAAAATCACTTCGGATTCGAAATCAGGACGTAACCCTGTACCTCGAAAACGAAGCAAGTTTAGGACACATGTTAATATGACCTTTATTCATCATATTATATCACAAGGAATCATCCCTTGAGTTATTTCGGTGTTATTTAGATACACCCTGTATAGATCATTCTTCATCCCAATATAGTTATTCAACATTTTTTACATAGCGAAGTTCAGCAAATACCGATGGCGAGAGCACTATGTTTATTGATTTGATGTCTACCTATAATATATGTAAAACAAGAAGACACAACTACTAGTGTTCCGTTTCGAAGTACAGTCGTCTTCAACGAACATGTCGCGGTTGGACGGTATGAGCGCTCTTATTGCAGCGGTGATCAAGGGAGCTGACACCGTCCATGTGCGACATGATCTCTGAAGACGACTGTACATTAAATTGACAAATTTGACTCCAAAATAATTCAGGCACGCGCCAATATTCATAACGTAGTTACTGCTGCCCGTTTACGTTTCCCCACCGCTTAGGGAACGATCGGGCGTGTTCGGTGAACACACGGGTATGATCTCGAGACTCCAGTATGATATAATCCCAGGCAGCACAAAGAGGTCCTGAAGATATCTCTAAGATATCCTTCTAGGAAATTGGTATGTACGAAAGCGTAGAGGGCTCAATTTACGTTTTTTTAAATAGACAGTTGTAACTGTCTAAATAGACACTTGCAACTGTCTATTTAAAAAAAAACATTTGGAATTATTTGGATAACCATTTTATTGGAATTACGGGTGATGGAAGCATCGATGTACAGGGTGGCCAATTAAGACTCCAGAGTTCGATTTCTCTGTTGTCTTGAGAGATACAAAAAAAAGTCATGTATCAAAATTGAAACAATAACCGAGCTGCACATTTCAAAATTATTTTGGAATATACAGGGTGTTCCATGAGGTAACAGCATATCAAAGTTATGTTTGTTTCATATGAACACCCTATATTTCAACGACCCATCATACTTAGGGTTAAGCAGTGAAAGTTACTGACATATAGGGTGTGCAAAATCGAGATTTTCCAAGTTCAGAATTTTTTTCTGTCGAAACTGTTCATTATTCGTCAAAACGGTTTACATGTCCATGTCTCAACTTTTCACTCACTATCAATTGGTGTTCAATTGAAATTGATACAAGGTGGCCAAAACAATCTGAATTTATAATTTGTTCTAATTAAATGTCAATTGAACACCAATTGATAGTGAGTGAAAAGTTGAGATAGGGACATGTAAACCGTTTTCACGAATAATGAACAGTTTCGACAGAAAAAAATCCTGAACTTGGAAAATCTCGATTTTGCACACCCTATTTGTCAGTAACTTTCACTGCTAGACCATAAGGATGATGGGTCGTTGGAATAAGATCTTCAGGAAGAATTCAAAAATGAAATAAAATATAGGGTGTTCCAATGAAAAAAACATAGCTTTGATGTGCTGTGACCTTACGGAACACCCTGTGTGTTTCAAAGAAATTTTGAAATGTAAAGCTCTGTTATCACTTTAATTTGAATGCAAAACTTTTTTTTGTATCTCTCAAGACAAGAGAGGTATCGAACTCTGGATTCTTAGTTGGCCACCCTGTACGTAGCAAACGAGAGTATGGATTTGGACGCAAATCGGAAGAAGGGTGAAACCTTGAAATCCCTTCAATTGATCATATTTTATACGGACATTTTCGGCAGCTTCAAAACGAGGGTGTGGTTTTGGCGCAACTCGGAAGGAGAAAAGTGAAACCGCGAAGTTTGTTGGCAGCAATTACTGTCATTTGTCAAATGCATCGTATTTTGTCAATATGTAAATTATGATTTGTTTGAAAGGATCGAAGAAGTGCTTTTGCACTCTTATTTTCAATAATTAACAATTCAATAGTTTTTGATCTTCGCCATCTTTGCCCAGAGAAGGTTGAGCTTCAAAGAGGGTTGGGTTAGGTAAGATTTCATTCCATTCGCTTGGTTGGTGCTGCCACACTCACTAGCTTCGTGACATCATTGAAACGCCGCAGAAAATGTGTATATAATCAAGGGACGCATCTATACCGTGTCACGGTGTCAGGCAGTGCAATAAGTGTTTCCAGCTGCCGTACATGAAATGTCGCAAAAAGTTTTGAAAAAACCGCTAGAAGTCGTCATAGCATCAAGGGACCCTTGTCATAGCGAGCGAAGCGAACAGAAAGCCTGCCGCAGGCGAAATTTTTGGCAATTTACCGACTTTTACTTCGTGATTTAGCGACATTTTTGATCATATTTCCTCATTTCAAGTTAGTTTATAACAAATAAAAAATCGTAGAAAACTTATTTATTTATCCAGAATATGTTCAGAATTAAAAAGCACATCGATTATAAAAAACAAAATGAATATAGGTAAATTTTCCTATACAATTTCATTCGGTACTATTAGAGGAAAGTACATTGGTAAATCTTAGGTAAATCACAACTCGATCGTAATTTTGTAATTATGATCCGATTCTATTCAAAATTGGTATCTGGGGGTTTTCGGGGTGGGAGATAATGATTATTTCGTGAAAATTGTAAAATTCAGGATGACGGATCGAATATGGCGGAAGACATTTCTAATTATGATCTGATTCTATTAGAGTTTGGTATCTGGGGGTTTCGGAGGGGGGTCGAACTTTATGATTTTTTGTCAAAATTGGGATATTCAAGATGGCGGATCCAATATGGCAAACGAGCTTTGTAATAAATAGTTTTTTGAAAAATCAATTGAACACGCGTTCGTCGATACTCAGTCGAATTAAGTAGTTTAAAAACTAAAGAGATAGATTGCCGAGCTGAAAACGAGTATAAAATGAATAGTATCTTGAAAAACTAAAGAAACACGCTTTTATGAGTAGCCGAACTGAAAAGAAGTAGAAAATGAAATGAATAAAGTGTGCTGGTAAATATTTAACTAAAAGAATATTTTCTAGATATATTGTGCATAGCAAAACAACGTTTACCAAGTCAGCTAGTAATCTAG